AGGGAGGGGTGTGTGTGTGTGGGTGGTGCATGAGGGAGGGGTGTGTGTGTGGTGTGTGGATGCATGAGGGAGGGTGTGTGTGTGTGGTGCAGGAGGGAGGGGTGTGTGTGTGTGTGTGTGGATGCAGGAGGGGGGGTGTGTGTGGTGTGGGTGTGGTGTGTACACAGGAGGGAGGGTGTGTGTGTGTGGGGTGGATGCATGAGGGAGGGGTGTGTGTGTGGGGGTGGTGCATGAGGGAGGGGTGTGTGTGTGGGTGTACAGGAGGGAGGGGTGTGTGTGGTGGTGGATGCATGAGGGGGGTGTGTGTGTGGGGTGGATGCATGAGGGAGGGGTGTGTGTGTGGGTGTGGATGCATGAGGTGTGAGGGGTGTGTGTGTGTGGGTGGATGCAGGAGGGAGGGGGGTGTGTGTGTGTGTGTGTACAGGAGGGAGGGGTGTGTGTGGGTGTGTGTGCATGAGGGAGGGGTGTGTGTGTGTGTGGGGTGGATGCATGAGGGAGGGGTGTGTGTGTGGGTGTGGATGCATGAGGGAGGGGTGTGTGTGTGGGGGTGGATGCATGAGGGAGGGAGGGGTGTGTGTGTGGGGGTGGATGCATGAGGGAGGGGTGTGTGTGTGTGTGTGAGGGAGGGGTGTGTGTGTGTGGTGTGTGTGTGGGAGGGGGGTGTGTGTGTGGGGGTGGATGCATGAGGGAGGGGTGTGTGTGTGGGGTGTGCATGAGGGAGGGGTGTGTGTGGGGTGTGGATGCATGAGGGAGGGGTGTGTGTTGGTGTGGTGTGTATGAGGAGGGGGTGTGTGTGTGTGTGGGGGGGAGGGGTGTGTGTGTGTGTGTGGATGGAGGGAGGGGTGGTGGGGGTGGATGCATGAGGGAGGGGTGTGTGTGTGTGTGTGGATGCATGAGGGAGGGGTGTGTGTGTGGGTGTGGATGCATGAGGGAGGGGTGTGTGTGGGTGTGGATGCATGAGGGAGGGGTGTGTGTGTGGGTGTGGATGCACAGGAGGGAGGGAGGGGGTGTGTGTGTGTGGGGTGGATGCATGAGGGAGGGGGTGTGTGTGGGGGTGGATGCATGAGGGAGGGGTGTGTGTGGGTGTGGATGCAGGAGGGAGGGGTGTGTGTGGGGTGTGGATGCATGGAGGGAGGGGTGTGTGTGTGGGTGGTGTGCATGAGGGAGGGGTGTGTGTGTGTGTGTGGATGCATGAGGGAGGGGTGTGTGTGGGTGTGTGTGCATGAGGGAGGGGTGTGTGTGTGTGGTGTGGATGCAGGAGGGAGGTGTGTGTGTGTGTGTGGATGCAGGAGGGAGGGGTGTGTGTGTGTGGGGTGGATGCATGAGGGAGGGGTGTGTGTGTGTGTGGATACATGAGGGAGGGGGGTGTGTGTGTGTGGGGTGGTGCAGGAGGGAGGGGTGTGTGTGTGTGTGGTGTGTGTGGATACATGAGGGAGGGGGTGTGTGTGGGTGTGGATGCATGAGGGAGGGGTGTGTGTGTGGGGGTGGTGCATGAGGGGGGGTGTGTGTGTGGGTGTGGATGCATGAGGGAGGGGTGTGTGTGTGTGGGTGTGGATGCATGAGGGAGGGTGTGTGTGTGTGGGGGTGGATGCATGAGGGAGGGGTGTGTGTGTGGGGGTGGATGCATGAGGGAGGGGTGTGTGTGTGGGTGTGGATGCATGAGGGAGGGGTGTGTGTGTGGGTGGATGCATGAGGGGGTGTGTGTGTGGGGGTGGATGCATGAGGGAGGTGTGTGTGTGGGGGTGGATGCATGAGGGAGGTGTGTGTGTGGGGGTGGATGCATGAGGGAGGGGGGTGTGTGTGGGGTGTGGATGCATGAGGGAGGGGGTGTGTGTGTGGGGTGGATGCATGAGGGAGGGGTGTGTGTGTGTGTGTGTGTGGATGCATGAGGGAGGGGTGTGTGTGTGGGGGTGGATGCATGAGGGAGGTGTGTGTGTGTGGGGGTGGATGCATGAGGGTGTGTGTGTGTGGGGGTGGATGCATGAGGGAGGGGTGTGTGTGTGGGGGTGGATGCATGAGGGAGGGTGTGTGTGTGTGGGTGGATGCATGAGGGAGGGGTGTGTGTGTGGGGGTGGTGTATGAGGGAGGGGTGTGTGTGGGGGTGGATGTACATGAGGGAGGGGTGTGTGTGTGGGGTGGATGCATGAGGGAGGGGGTGTGTGTGTGGGTGGATGCATGAGGGAGGGGTGTGTGTGGGGTGTGGATGCATGAGGGAGGGGTGTGTGTGGGTGTGGATGCATGAGGGAGGGGGGTGTGTGTGTGTGGGGGTGGATGCATGAGGGAGGGGGGTGAGGGAGGGGTGTGTGTGTGTGGGGTGGATGCATGAGGGAGGGGTGTGTGTGTGTGGGGGTGGATGCATGAGGGAGGGAGGGGTGTGTGTGTGTGTGTGTGTGGTGCATGAGGGAGGGGTGTGTGTGTGGTGTGGATGCATGAGGGAGGGGGTGTGTGTGGGGGTGGATGCATGAGGGAGGGGTGGTGTGTGTGTGAGGGAGGGGTGTGTGGGGGTGATGAGGGAGGGGTGTGTGTGTGGGGTGGATGCATGAGGGAGGGGTGTGTGTGGGGGTGGATGCATGAGGGAGGGGTGTGTGTGTGTGGGGTGGATGCATGAGGGAGGGGTGGTGTGTGTGTGTGGGGTGGATGCATGAGGGAGGGGTGTGTGTGTGGGGGTGGTACAGGAGGGAGGGGTGTGTGTGTGGGGGTGGATGCATGAGGGAGGGGTGTGTGTGTGGTGGTGGATGCATGAGGGAGGGGTGTGTGTGTGTGGGGTGGATGCATGAGGGAGGGGTGTGTGTGTGTGGGTGGATGCATGAGGGAGGGGTGTGTGTGTGGGGGTGGATGTGAGGGACAGTGTGGGGGGTGGAGCATGAGGGAGGGGTGTGTGTGTGGGGGTGTGTGCATGAGGGAGGGGTGTGTGTGGTGGTGGATGCATGAGGGAGGGGTGTGTGTGTGTGGGGTGGATGCATGAGGGAGGGGTGTGTGTGTGTGGGGGTGGATGCATGAGGGTGGGGTGGTGTGTGTGGGTGTGTACATGGGGAGGGGGGTGTGTGGGGGTGGATGCATGAGGGAGGTGTGTGTACAGGAGGGGGTGGATGCATGAGGGAGGGGTGTGTGTGTGTACAGGAGGGAGGGGTGGTGTGGTGCATGAGGGAGGGGTGTGTGTGTGGGGGTGTGTGCATGAGGGAGGGGTGTGTGTGTGTGGGGGTGGTGCATGAGGGAGGGGTGTGTGTGTGTGGGGGTGGATGCAGGAGGGAGGGGTGTGTGTGTGGGTGTGTGTGTGTGTGTGTGTGGGTGTGTACAGGAGGGAGGGGTGTGTGTGTGGGGTGGGTGGATGCATGAGGGGGGGGGTGTGTGTGTGTGGGTGTGGATACATGAGGGATGGGTGTGTGTGTGTGGGGTGGATGCATGAGGGGTGTGGTGTGTGGTGTGATGCATGAGGGTGGGTGTGTGTGTGTGTGTACAGGTGGATGCATGAGGGAGGGGTGTGTGTGTGGGGGTGGCTGCATGAGGGAGGGGTGTGTGTGGGGGGTGGATGCATGAGGGAGGGGTGTGTGTGTGGGGTGGATGCATGAGGGATGGGTGTGTGTGTGTGTGGGGGTGGATGCATGAGGGAGGGGTGTGTGTGTGTGGGGGGTGGATGCATGAGGGGGGGTGTGTGTGTGTGGGGGTGGATGCATGAGGGAGGGGTGTGTGTGTGGGGGTGGATGCATGAGGGAGGGGGTGTGTGTGTGTACAGGAGGGGGGGTGGTGTGTGCAAGCAGGGAGGGGTGTGTGTGTGGGGGTGGATGCATGAGGGAGGGGTGTGTGTGTGGGGGTGGATGCATGAGGGAGGGGTGTGTGTGTGGGGGTGGATGCATGAGGGAGGGGGTGTGTGTGGGGTGTGTGGATGCAAGAGGGAGGGGTGTGTGTGGGGGGGTAGATGCATGAGGGAGGTGTGTGTGTGGGGGTGGATGCATGAGGGAGGGGGGTGTGTGTGTGGGGGTGGATGCAGGAGGGAGGGGTGTGTGTGTGGGGGGGTGGATGCAAGAGGGAGGGGTGTGTGGGGGTGTAGATGCATGAGGGAGGTGTGTGTGTGTGGGGTGGATGCATGAGGGAGGGGTGTGTGTGTGGGGGGTGGATGCATGAGGGAGGGGGTGTGTGTGTGGGGGGTGGATGCAAGAGGGAGGGGTGTGTGTGTGTGGGGTAGATGCATGAGGGAGGGGTGTGTGTGTGTGGGGGTGGATGCATGAGGGAGGGGTGTGTGTGTGGGGTGGATGCATGAGGGAGGTGTGTGTGTGTGGTGGGGTGGATGCAAGAGGGAGGGGGGTGTGTGGGGGGGTAGATGCATGAGGGAGGTGTGTGTGTGGGGGGTGGATGCATGAGGGAGGGGTGTGTGTGTGGGGTGGATGCATGAGGGAGGTGTGTGTGTGTGGGGGGTGGATGCAAGAGGGAGGGGTGTGTGTGGGGGTAGGATGCATGAGGGAGTGGTGTGTGTGGGGGGGGTGGATGCATGAGGGAGGGGTGTGTGTGTGGGGGGGTGGATGCATGAGGGAGGGGTGTGTGTGTGGGGGTGGATGCATGAGGGAGGGGTGTGTGTGTGGGGGTGGATGCATGAGGGAGGGGTGTGTGTGTGGGGGGTGGATGCATGAGGGAGGGGTGTGTGTGTGGGGGTGGATGCATGAGGGAGGGGTGTGTGTGTGGGGGGTGGATGCATGAGGGAGGGGGTGTGTGTGGGGGGTGGATGCATGAGGGAGGGGTGTGTGTGGGGGGTGGATGCATGAGGGAGGGGTGGATGCATGAGGAGGGGTGTGTGTGGGGGTGGATGCATGAGGGAGGGGGTGTGTGTGTGGGGGGGTGGATGCATGAGGGAGGGGTGTGTGTGGGGGGTGGATGCATGAGGGAGGGGTGTGTGTGGGGTGGATGCAAGTGGGAGGGGTGTGTAGGGGGGTGCCTGAGGGAGGGGGGTGTTGGGGGAGGGGCGGGTGCATGACAGTGTTATAACCATGGTTGGTCCTCTCCGGTAGGATGTCATGGACGGGCCTCAGCCAGTGGTTCTGGAGCGAGGATGTGTGGTTGCCCCCCTTCTACACCTGGGACGACCTCGTCCACTCCCGCCACTTTATCTACCCCAACTTCTACGATGTCTGGACCTACCCGCTTGGCTTTGCCTTGTTCTTCATCGCCCTGCGCTACCTCGTCCTCACTCCCTATGTATTCACTCCTATAGCAAACTTTTATGGCGTGAAGAATACACAAGCGCGCCCGCCACCCTTTAATACAACACTAAATGGTATCTTCCGGCAGTACCGCAGCCACGCCCCTGTAGAGGTGGTCAGCAAGGCCGCGCAGTCTCTAGGGTGGACGGAGCGACAGGTGGAGAGGTGGCTGAGGCAGCAGGCGCTGGCGGCGCGCACCACCGACTTGGGCAAGTTCTGTGGTCTGGCGTGGGAGGCGCTCTACTACACGCTGTACTGCATCATGGGTCTGGTGGTGCTGTGGGACAAGCCTTGGCTCTGGGACATCCGCCACTGTTGGTACGGTTTCCCCAGGCACAATCTGGACACTGATGTGTGGTGGTACTACATGGTGCCGCTGGGCTTCTACTGGAGCATGACCATCACCCACAGCTTCCAGCACCGACGCAAGGACTCCAACCAGCTGTTCGTGCACCATGTTCTCACCATCATGCTCATCTCATTCTCCTGGGCGTGTAACTTTGTGCGTATCGGGACGCTGGTGTTGGTGGTGCACGAGTGTGCCGACATCCCCATGCTGGTGGCCAAGATGTGTAAACTGTGCGGACGACGCGACCTCATGGACAACCTCTTCGTGGTGTTCCTGCTGCTGTGGCTCTCCACCAGGACGGGACTGTATCCACTCTGGATCCTCAGGAGTACGCTCTTCGAGGCCCACGTCATCCTCGGACTCTGGTACCCTGTGTATTACATTTTTAATGGGATGTTACTTCTGCTGATGTTGATACACTTGGGCTGGACCTTCCTCATCCTGAGGATCGTGGTCCGCAAGCTGCGCAACAACCAGATAGACGATGTTCGCTCATCCACTGATGATTCAGTTCAGGAAAACGATGAGGCTGTCATCAAAAAGGAAAACTAAATTGAATTCATCCATGCATATTTGCATTACTTTCAGTTTTTGTTCTCAGCACTTGCAAGATCCAAAGAACTTTATGCAACATTGCTGGTCACGTTCTTGTTCCTTTTATTCACAATTAAGAGATTATACTTAATAATTACAATTCCTGTCCGATGTACAATCTTCACGAGAATTATCTTAGTCTAAGTGAACGCACAATCTTTTGAGCAATAAGAGGCTGTGAATGCATTCATGGTGCACCATGAAGCGTGTCCTACATAGGTAGTAATTAGTAGGGTGCGGCGCCCTCAACTGTACCTCAGGGAACTTGCTACTTGAGGGCGGCGTCGCCTCCACCAGTGTCCTCACCAGGACCGCCTCAACTCTACACGTCGCCTCCACCAGTGTCCTCACCAGGACCGCCTCAACTCTACACGTCGCCTCCACCAGTGTCCTCACCAGGACCGCCTCAACTCTACACGTCGCCTCCACCAGTGTCCTCACCAGGACCGCCTCAACTCTACACGTCGCCTCCACCAGTGTCCTCACCAGGACCGCCTCAACTCTACACGTCGCCTCCACCAGTGTCCTCACCAGGACCGCCTCAACTCTACACGTCGCCTCCACCCCCACAACCCTCCCAAACTCCTGGAGTCTTCACCACTCCCCTATGCTCCTCTGTAGCTACAAACAAAATGCACACAACTTTGTCCCTGTAAGGAAGTTGATAGTTTCACAGCGGTAACGTTAAAAAAAAATTGTGCTTATAGTGAAGTGAATGTTGAGTACGGTGTGATAAGGTTCTCGTTGGGGCTCCTCCAGGTCTGAAGTGTCGGTGTGGTGGAGGCGGCCAGTCTTGGTCGCCTCCTGATATTACCCGTCAGGTGGGGGACTGGTGGTTGGCACCCGTCATGGGTGGCACCCGTCACTGGTGGTGTGGGTGGCACCCGTCACTGGTGGTGTGGTGTGGGTGGCACCCGTCACTGGTGGTGTGGGTGCACCCGTCACTGGTGGTGTGGGTGGCACCCGTCACTGGTGGTGTGGGTGGCACCCGTCACTGGTGGTGTGGGTGGCACCCGTCACTGGTGGTGTGGGTGGCACCCGTCACTGGTGGTGTGGGTGGCACCCGTCACTGGGGACTCTAGACTCCCACACCGGAGTCAAGAGTAATAATGGAATGTGCCGGGGAACTGGTCATCTTTGGGAACTAATGTAATGATAAAAGTAATTCAGTAATGTGCAATGATCAGTTGAGTATTATTATGGGGGTACGTTGTCAAGGTGGTAACCATTCCTGTGTTGCAACATGTACGTTATCAATTAAAGCAATAACCATTGCTAGGTTGCAACGTTATAAATTAAAGCAATAATCATTCCTATGTGGCAACGTGTACCTTGTCAGGTTAGGCAGTAACCATTGCTATGTTGTAATGTGTATCTTATCAATTAAGGCAGTAACCATTCCTATGTTGCAACGTGTACCTTGACAAGGCAGTAACCATTCCTGTGTGATAACGTGTACCTTGTGAAGGCAGTAACCATTCCTGTGTGACAACGTGTACCTTGTGAAGGCAGTAACCATTCCTGTGTGACAACGTGTACCTTGTGAAGGCAGTAACCAATGCAGTGTTGCCAGACGGAGCCTTGTGATGGCACTAATCGTTACAGGCCAAGAGTGTACATTGTCCCCCAGGCAGTATTGCCATTGCCACATTGTTCAAACATTATGCAAATATTATATATGTGATCGCTAGTCAGTTGCTGTGTTTTCTAGGAGTATCTAGGAGATTATTAATAAAGACAGTGGTTGATATATGTTTGTGTGTGCTGCTCCTTGAACACTCACTCTCCCTGGACCCTACCCCAGCTACCAGTATCTCCACCCCCACCCCCATAGTCTGCATCTCTACTGGCTCCCTCTACCCCACTATGTTCCTCCCACGCCCATTACGTTTCTCCCACGCCTTTTAATATTTATCTCTTATGAGGGTGTGAATACCCCTGAGGTTCCAGAATGGGTCTGGAGGTCACACAACGTCCTTCTCTCTCGTCCAAACTCTCACAAGTCAAGCCTGGCCTCGGGCCGGGCTTAGGGAGTAGAAGAACTCCCAGAACCCCATCAAGCAGGTTCCGTCATCCCCCCGGAGACGACCCGTGTGACCTGCCGCCAGAGGTGGGCCGCGACCCGCCGCCAAAGGTGGGCCACGACCCGCCGCCAGAGGTGGGCTGTGACCCGCCACCACAGGTGGTCCGTGACACGCCGCCAGAGGTGGTCTGCGACCCGCCGCCAGAGGTGGTCTGCGACCCGTTGCCAGAGGTGGGCCGCGACCCGCCGCCAGAGGTGGGCCGCGACCCGCCACCAGAGGTGGTCCGAGACACGCCGCCAGAGGTGGTCTGCGACCCGCCGCCAGAGGTGGGCTGCGACCCGCCGCCAGAGGTGGTCTGCGACCCGCCGCCACAGGTGGTCCGCAACCCGCCGCCAGAGGTGGGCCGCGACCCACCGCCAGAGGTGGTTTGTGACCCGCCGCCAGAGGTGGGCCGCGACCCACCGCCAGAGGTGGGCCGCGACCCGCCGCCAGAGGTGGGCCGCGACCCGCCGCCAGAGGTGGGCCGCAACCTGCCGCCAGAGGTGGGCCGAGACCCGCCGCCAGAGGTGGGCCGCGACCCGCCGCCAGAGGTGGGCCGCGACCCGCCGCCAGAGGTGGGCCGAGACCCACCGCTAGAGGTGGGCCGAGACCCGCCGCCAGAGGTGGGCCGAGAGAGGTGGGCCGAGACCCGCCGCCAGAGGTGGGCCAAGACCCGCCGCCAGAGGTGGGCCGAGACCCGCCGCCAGAGGTGGGCCGCGACCCGCCGCCAGAGGTGGGCCAAGACCCGCCGCCAGAGGTCGCGAAGGGACGTCTTGTGGTCACTAATTGTGAGATTTTTTTTCTGTCGTGATATTCTAGTATTACATCCATCAACTTTAAACTGAAAGTCTAGATGGTCCTCCTGAGGAAGGACTTGCTTAGCTAACACGCTAAGTATAGTAAGCAGCTCATTCCCCACTCTAGAGACCTTAGAACAATTGACTAGCGCAAGCAAACACCGTGACCTCAAGAGTATGAATTCCCTTCTACTAGGACGTTGACCTTCGTCATTCGCCGGAGCGAATCTAACGAGTAGGTCACGGGTTCTCACAGCGTATTATTTGTTGTGTGCCACTATGAATTCAGCTCTAAGCTCATGAGGCAGTCTCAATTGAATAGCAATAATAATTTCAGGCAACATGGCAGAACAAATGTAAATAAATAAAATGTGTGGGGGGTAACGAAAGACAGCGTTCAACATAACAATACAGTTTATTCAACAAAGTACTAACTACAACAACGAAAAATATCAATGACGTTATTCGAAATCCTTCCTGTGACACTTTTACGAAAGCTCGACACCAGCCACAAGTATGACTACAGGATCCTTCCTGCTATCACGTTGTGCTGCATAAATAAACTAAGTTGAACATACTGAGTGTTCACAGAGGAATCAATCAAACAAAACATACTAATCTATAATCACTAATGCAACAACGACAAGGTAGGTTGGGAGACACATCTCCAGTAACCTCCCATCAGTTACTTTATGCTTCTTGCAACCCTCCCCTGCAATAGCAGTTGCAATGCAATCAAACTAGTAGCCTATCAATGACATTACAATGACTAATGGGGCTACTGGTAACTCCAGCAATTCTCCTTAATTAAATTCTTATGTTAACACTAAGTCCCTTGGACGATCAACAATCAATGACCAATTGATTACGTTAATATTAAAGTAACACTTATGTTAACTTCATCTTGTCTCCCACAGACAAATCAAACTGTACAACTGTCACTAGTAACTCGGAATTACACAAACACTTAACCTGTCGAGCGTTCAGCGAATAATCCCCATTAATCCCTGTACTTTGGACAGCTGATTAATCCTAGCGCGAGTTACGTTAAGGGTTACTATCGCCCATTCGATAGTTAACTACAATTCTATGTCCAAAGTGCTAAGAGGACGGCAATCAATCACCCTTGACTACCCTTGAGCAATTAATTACTATCTCGAAGATCAATGATTAATTAACACAAATACGTCACCTTTCCCACTGGCTCAACAAATATAACTTCAACGACATGAATCCCCTCTGGGGCCTATCATACCCTGATGAACTCTGGTGACTATCCCACGAACAGATAACTGATCACTACGTCTACGTTACTTTAACAATGACTTTACTCTCCCAAGAATCAATCAAATTACCTGTCCAACTGACCGATATTGATAACCGACGTTACGTTAATGAAACAATGTAGCCTTCGTGCGAGTCGATCAACCCCTGATCGGAGTTAACTACCTTAGACTTCCGGGAACCCTTAATTACCTTTTCCAGCAGATAGTACTTAAATGCAAGACTTCAGCCCTCCTGGAATTACTACAAGACTTGTCTGACTTCGCTTGAAGTGGCTGTTTGTCTCGGCTCCCTGACCGACTAAAACAGCTGTTCCTTGAAAAATAATTAACCCAAAAGTATCTTACGTTACTCAAATTGTCTAATGAACAATTTCTCTATAAGCAATGGGGTGTTCCCTTGTAGGAAGTGCGTTCCATGGTGGAATGTGGACTGTGCTCGGGCTGCTGTAAGCGTGCAGCCTGGAAGAGGCACCGCCACCGGCAGACGGCTGATACTTTTCTTTCGTTTCGGAAGGCGAGTGCGGTGGTCCGTAGGGCCATCTGTACAGCTAAGTGTGAGTGTTGGAAGTCTTATGTTTCCACCATTATGTCTGAAACTCCTCTGCCGCAGATCTGGAAGCGTATCCGCAAGATAGCGAGGAAGTTCGTTCCCGATGTCTCGCTGGTCCTTCACCTCCGTGGTACTCTTGTGGCAGACTCATTACAGATCGTGACTGAACTGGGTTCCCACTTTCCTTCTGTTAGCTCTGGTTCTCATCTTCCTCAATCTTTCCTTCATCGTAAACCTGTCCTTGAATCTCGTCCTTTACATTTTTGCACCCATCTCCGACTTCCCTATAACGATCCCTTCTCTCTCTCTGAACTTTAGTCTGCCCCAGCCCTCTGCGGTTCTACGGTGGCAGGCTCCAATGGCATTCATTATGAGATGCTTCGCCATCTCCCTCCATGCACATCTCAGTATTTACAGAGTCTGTATAATCGGGTCTGGGAGTCGTCGTTAGTCCCTGAGGACTGGCTCGATGCCATTGTCTTCCCTATTCGGAAACCAGGGTCTCTTGGGACATCACCTAAGGACTTCTGCCCTATTGCCCTCACAAGTTGTGTCTGCAAACTCTTTGAACGTATGGTTAACGTTCGTCTGATGTGGTTCTTGAAACGCTATCACCACCTCTCCCCTTTTCAATTTGGTTTTGGCAAGTGCCACAGCACACCAGTTGTCCTGGTGAACTTGGAGGTTTATATTCGTACTGCTTTTGCTGCAAAGACCCCAGTTGTTACCATCCTTTTTGACCTGGAAAAGGCTTACGACACCACCTGGCGATATCATATTCTGTTCCAACTTCATTCTTTTGGCCTTAGTGATAATCTCCCTCTCTTTCTCCAGAGCTTCCTCTCTCGTCGTTCTTTTCGAATAAGGCTTGGTGCCACTCTCTCTGCCTCTTTTCAGCAATACGAAGGGTGTGCCCCAATTTAGTGTTCTGAACAGCACTATTTTTCTGGTTGCCCTCAATGGTCTTCTATCCTCTCTTCCTTCTGGCATCTTCTCCGCTCTCTATGTCGACGATCTTACCCTTTGCTGTCGGGGTGATGATTTGCCTCTCCTTCAACGGCAGCTGCAACTTGCGATTGATGCCGTGTCGTCTTGGGCCACCGATCATGGCTTCAGGTTCTCTACGTCTTAAGACTTGTGCTATGACTTTTACTCGGAAGCATGTCTTTCTTCGTCCCTCTGTCGCTTTATGGTCATCCCCTTGTGTACAGGGATTCCGCTAAGCTTTTGGGGTTAATCTTTGACACTCTTTTGTCTTGGTCACCCCATATCTCTTACCTCTGATTTGAATGCTCTAAGGCCCTTACTCTCCTTAAGATTTTGTCCCATACTTCTTAGGGAGCGGATAAGCGCACTCTCCTCACTTTACATTCCTCTCTTGTCCTGTCTAAACTCAATTATGGTTGCCCTGCTAACTCGTCTGCTACTTCTTTTACTCTTCGCTGTCTTGATGCTTTGCACCATACTGGGTTGCACCTCAACTCTGGTGCCTTTCGTTTGACTCCCGTCCTCAGCTTGTATGTTGACACTGGCTTCAGACCGCTGTCATCGCTATCTTGCGCGGTCCTTGCAACATCCTTCCTCTCGCCTCTGTCATGCTTTAACTTTTACCCCTCCTGTGGTTCCTATTCCTCTTCACCACCTTCCTCTTTCTGGGTCTAAGTCTGCAGATGGTATAAGCTACTCTGTTGTTTTTCTTGACAGCACTTATATGTGTCGCTTACCTCCGGAGACTAGCATCTTCACAGCAGAACTTTATGCTATTCTCTATGCTCGTCGTCTCCTGCTTTCTCGTTGTAAATCTTCCTTTGTAGTTGTCGTTGACTCTCGGACTCTCATGGCTCTCAGGAGAGAGCCATGAGAGGCCTCATGGCTCTTGGGTCCTTTAATCCGGTCCATCCAGTGATCGTCGAGATTCAACATTGGCTGTTTCTTATTTCCAGTAAATTTAAGTCAGTTGAGTTTTGCTGGGTTCCCAGCCATATTGGTGTCTCTTTAAATGAGCGTGCGGATGCTGCCGCTAGGGAAGCTGTCCGCTCTTGTCCCATCTCCCGTAAAGGTATTCCTTATTCCGACTTTTATCCAGTTATTCATTCCTCCATCCTTACCCGTTGGCAGAGTTGTTGGTCTTCTTTTACTGGTAACAAACTGCGTACTCTTAAAGAGTAGTGTGTCCTCGTGGCCATCCTCCTACCATTGTAACCAGCGATGGGAAACAGCTCTGGCGAGGTTGTGTATTGGCCATACACGCTTAACTCACTGTCACTTAATGGAGTGCCGTCCTGCTCCCTATTGTCCAAATTGCATTGTACCTCTTAGACTCGTACAAATCCTTGTTGAATGTCCTGACTTTAAGGACAAGCGTGTGTCTTTCTTTCCGACCGTCCCTCACGGTCGCTTGTCCCTCGATAGAATTCTTGGTGAATTGGACCCCCTCCCCGCTCAGCTCGTTGTCGCCGTCTGGGGGCTTAGTGGGCGGCTGCCGGAGTGTGATGCTCCTTGGGACAGTCCTCTGTCCTTTTCTAGCCTTGTGCTCCTGCTGCCGTCCTCTCCAATTCTGCTGGGCATCTTTTCCTTTTCCTTCTGTTTCGTTTTTCTCCCCCCTCTTCTCCTATCTGCTTGCCGTTTCCTGCCGACCTTTTGCTCGTTCTGGTTCTTCCCTTGGACTTCTTCTACTTTGACGCCCGGGTGCTTGAGGAGGCATACTCTTGCACCCGTAGAACTGCAGTACCCGACGTCGAGAGCGAGGGGAACCTTTTATTGTCAATCCCCACTTCGTCACTGAACCCGATCTCGACGGACTGTCGGTTTCTTAAGGTGGCGTTTGTGGGGCGTATACTCACGACGCACCCCTAGGAGGCCCCGACAAGATCGGCGATAGCTTCTTGTTGGGTGTCCTGCCTCTAATTGTGGCTCCATGGTGGGTGTGGGGGCACATTCGTGAGTGAATTCGTAATTTCGTCAAGATGATAACCCCTGTTTCGGCTGCTTCTGGCTTACCTTTTCAGGCTCGTGGGGTGGGCGACCAAGCCCCCGAGTCGGTCCGTATTGGAAGACCGGGCTCTGTAGCCTCCGCTGCATTGGGCCCCGACCTTGCTCCTCCTTTGGCCTCTCTGACTCCTTCCCCTGGCTCCCCTCCCTCCTCTGTGGTTGGGTCGAGCCCCAAGCCCCCAGTGGTGACTACCTCGTCCCCTGGCGCGGCTCCTTCTCTAGTTGTAACTACTGCGCC